AACAGTCATATCTTTATGTTGATGATAAGCTGCTCAGCAGAGCTTGTCCTGGGAACTCTGGGTAACTTAAAACACTGCTGCTGACTTTTTGTGCCAAAATTTATAAAAACAATGGTAGGAGATGTGCTAAATCTCATTATGGTGTACAAATTCTGATCATACACAGAAACACCCTGTCACAAAGGACAGATGATGTCCACAGACTGGATAATACTATATGGTTCCCTCTCCTTCCAAGTGAAACAGAACCTCTGTTGAAGCCTATCTGGTACAAGTGCACAAATTTAAGAAAAAGAAAGTCCTACAAAACCAGAAGACACCTTTAAGGAAAACAAATGTGTTACATATATGCAAAAAGTAAGATGAAGTAAGAGATTTTCTTCTTCTCTTACATAAGACCTGCTGGGAAAGGAAGTCCTTTCAGCTGAACAAGGCACACAAACATGTGGCTACAGGTCGGAGTTTGGCCTGAAATATTCACTACTCCCACTTCTTCCAATTTATAAAGAGACAGTGGTCCTTTCCTTATGCACACCACTTCCAGTCTGCAAGTGTGGACCATTACAATTCTTCTTCCTCTCCTCTCATGCCTCCCCCCCATTTTCAAAGCATTTGTTTCTGTTCAGAGATTGCTTGGTAAGATAAGCCTTTTCTGGACAAACTGCCAAATGAATCAAGATAATGCCAAAGCAAGTTCAAACAGATTTAATACACAGGTATCATTCAGCCACTGTGAACAACTGATCTGTGCAGAGTAGACTGACTTATTGTGACACAGCACAGGTGGAGTCAGACTTTCTGATCTGGTGCTCTGCTCTCTGGAGGTGCTGAACAGAAGACATTCCCGAGGAAAAAGTCCAAGTGATCTCTGCACACAGGCAGGAGGGTCTCTCACCGACTGAGTCCAGCCAGGGAGCCTGGAGGACACTTGTTCTCAAAGCCCAGGCAGAACACAGCAGTGTGTGCTCCTGCCCCACCCTGACCCTCCCACCATGACCAGCGTGGAGGCAGCTGCCCTGCCAGGAGCACTGCAGTCACCTTGGGAGGCCAGAACCACGGCAGGAGAAAATACAGCTGCAGTCTAAACCCACCCTAGGTCTCGGTTCAGCCTGGTGCTGCCTCACCTTTGCTGCAGTTAAAGGGCTGGGGGAAGGTGTCTCACTTGGCCTGGGAATTCCCACAGCTATCCAAACCAGCTGTTTCCAGCAGAACCGACTGAGAAACCACAGGAACCTTCTCTGCCAACAGGACCCAGGACTTTATTCTCCTCCTCACCTCCAACAGACTGCCTTGAGCTGCAGTTGGAAGTTAGAAGTGCTTCACTACAGATATCCAGTCCCATCATCAGCTTCCCAGCCAGAAAATGAATCCAGAAAGATACTGCTTTCACAAAAAAAAAAAAGGCTAAAAATAATATGCTTCTAAGATTGTGAAACCAATTTAAGAGTCACGCAAGGGATTAGTGTAGGGACAGAGGTAAAGGCTGACAGAGCTATTTCTTTCCAAGGATGCTTGGAAACAACACTGGATGCTCACCACATGGCAAGACATTTCTTGCTCTCTTACGTATGGGTTAAAATTACCATGATTTTCCATTTCAGTTTTGTAGTCAACTTCAGAAGTGAGTAAACCTGCTAGGACAGAACTGAAAGCACAGCCCAGCACTGGGTAGAAAGAAAAACACTCAAGCACTTATTGGGTATAACACATAAAACTTTAAAAAAATTACCAGTCCTTGTGGCATCAGAGAACCCAGTCTGCTAATAACCAAACTAACAGAATCTACTTTTCACTACAGGGAAACTCCCTGCCCTTCTAAGAAACAGCCTTCATACATGTGAAACAGAGTCAGCTCACACAACACATCTACACTCAACATATTCTTTGCAAGCAATTCCCACAGCCCTTTGTTTCCCCTCCTTCCTGCATTACAGAAAGTTCTCCCTGCACTCATCTGAGCCACCATGATGCAAATCTGTACCTGTCAAGGCCCCAGTTTGAAGTCCTTATCTACCATGTGCTTTATTTTGAGAAGACCTTATAGGCAAGAGGAATGAGGAAAGACCTAGAGCACTTCAGTAAACTGGGAGGGACCTAAGCATGCGCTCGAGTTCCCTGGGTCAGGCTGCTGTTCCTGACGTGGTGACACACACAGGGTGAGCCATGTGGTGTAAGTGACACCACCTGAGCTGGGAACAGGCACCGAGGGAAGCGGCACCAAACGGAGCAAGCTCGTGTGTCCAGTGCAGAGAACAACACAAGCATTTAGATGAACCTGCACTGGTGTGTTGGGCTGTGCATTCCACTCACATTACAACTACCTCCAGAACTTTACTTCAGAGCTGTGCTACCCCTGGGATCAGAAGTACCTGAACTGGTACAGAGACAGCCACGTCCACCTGACAGGACCCACCCCACGCGTGGTGCTGTGAGTGTCTGAGTTCAGATACACAAGATTGTGCTCTGGGAGATATCCCTTCACCTGTTACATTCATGGTTTTGACATGAAAACTAGACATTACACAACTTCCAGAGATGTATGAGCTATGTACAAATCGCATTGTAGAAACTTCCCTGCCTTTTTATCTCTTTGAACAATAACAAGTGAAATCAAGACACTGATTTTTGACTTAGTATATTTGACTTAGTATATTCAAATCACACAGAGCAGCCTTGAATTCAACCTCAGGAACTACTTCTTCAACTTCCAAAATCAAATCTCCTCCCTTCCCAAACTACTGCTTTCTCCTTCCAGTCTGCTGCTTTTACCTCTCTTAAGTTTTATAATTTCTTTGCGGCTTCGCTACACAGTTTAGCAGTTACATTGATGCAAGTAATTTTTCATCACTCTTTCTCCATGAAAAAGTTTCTGCCCAGAGGAGAAGTCCCATGAGGATTCAGACCCACAGACGTGGCTCGCAGGCCCAGCAGCTGCACCAGCAGCACCACTAACCATGACCCACAGAGCCATGTGGTGACTCGCCAAGGCCACCAGGGAAGCACAGCAGGCCCTGAGATCCCCCAGCTCCCAGGTGCTGGCTCAACTACAGACTCCTGAGGAGCTGCCCACAGTCAAAGCAGCAGCACCCCGGCTCTGTGCAGGACCAGGGGGTCTCTGCTGACATGATCCAACAGGCAAACACATGTGGCCACACTGGCATTGCTGACACGTGAACCAAGGCATAGGAATCATACCTGGTACCTGGGACAGCACTGGGCCCACCTCCCTCGGGAGCTCCCTGAGGAAGGACAGCCTGGGGAAGCAACCACAGACACTCAGCTCCTGCAGTCTGGCTCTGCAGCCCCAGCCTGGCACAGGGAGTGAGGCACAGCTCGGGCTGTGCAGCTCGGGCTGTGCCTGACGTGTGTCTTGGTGCAGCAACTGAACGGCACAAAGGGCACGGAGTCTGTGCTGTGCCCATGGCTCCACATGTGGGCAGAGATCCAGCACTTGGTTCAACTCCCAGAGAAATCACATACTGGACCGTGCATCAAAGAGATTTTTTTCAGCTAAGATTTTTTCTGATCATAAATTTATGATCATCAGTGAGTGTGGCACCCATTTGTTTAACCAGATAAATGCTGAAGAGGACTGAGTGCACACAGTCAACAACTATTGCTAGAGACAGCTTTTGTTGCTTTAAGAAGAACCTGAAGATGATAGAAGGCCTTTATCCTTTGTGAATAAAGGTTTCCTTTTAGAACAGGTCCACTATCAAAACAGTGATGATCATTTTCCGAAATGATGCTGATTGATATTGTTTGGGCATTAAAAAGGCTGTCAGTAGGGCTGCCAAAAGCCTATACAAATATTATTTGAGAAAGAATAGCCCTTGGAATGCTATTTGGAGGTGGCAGCAGGAAGAAAAGAGCTGTAAATTTGGTAAAAAAAGAGAACAAACCAAACCAAAACATCCTACAAAACAAAATAAACAAACAAAAACACACAAAAAAGGCAGAGGAAGAAAAAAGGAAGAATGATAGATTTCCATGAGGTTGTGCCAAAAGCTACCTACCACCTATTGTTTCACAGTTTTTTTCCCACCCTTCATTTCTCATGTGATGGATTTTGCAGCATGTAGGTTTGTTACAGTTACAGTGTTGTGATGATCTGTCTTCCTAAAGGCCCAATACTCTATCCAGCTCCACAGCCTCCAGCACCAGGTACAGAAAAGGAGCATTAGCCTTCACATCAAACTTGAATCAAAGAAGGGGACAGGAGGGGATTGTTTACTTAGAGCAACACTACCTGCACAGAAGGTAAAAGGAAACGTCATTTAATTACCTAAAGGTCAAATGAACTAAGGAAAAATAATATATACTCCTTTTTAAATACACTCCTTTTCTTATGCAGACTTATGTACAGTACAGATCCAGCTCTTCTTTGAGAGCATCACAACAGCACATGTTTTGTGCATGAAGAGTTTTGTGTAGTATTTCTAAACAGCACAACGTCTCTCCAGCCTGGTCCGTGATGCTGTCTGAGCCACAACAACGGAGGGAAAAGGAGGATCGGATTAGATCAGTGAAACCGAGCCAGGGATAGAGAGACAGGCCTGGAGCAGAGGGCAGGAACCATCAGGAGTAGACACCAAGGGAAAGCGGAGTCCTCACGGCTTCCCAGGACAGCGCCGTGGGGACGCACCTCCTGCCGGGGAGCCCGGAGCCCCCATCGCATCCCGCTCCGCAGCGACACGGGAGCCAGCGCAGGCCCCACACGGCCTCGCGAACCCGCCCCCGGCGCGGGGCAGCCGCGGCTGCGGGCGCTGTCCCCGCACCTGCCCGCGCTCCGCCGGCACCGGCTCCGCCCGCGCCCTCCCGGCCGGGGCCCCGCGGCGGGCCGGCACCACCGACCCGCGGACGGGGCTGCGGGGGCGTCCCGCCCTCCCTGCCCGCCGCCAGCAGCCCTCGCCCGCGGGGGAAGGCGCGGGCGCGGCCCCGGCGCTGCGGGGACAGGGCGGCGGGAGGGGCAGGCCCCGCTCCGCCCGCCCGGCCCGTACCTCCAGCGTGCGGATCTCCTGCTGCGTGAGGTCGTTGGACGCGGCGCACTTGGTGCGGAGCCCGCGCAGGTTGGAGAGCGAGATGTCGATGAGGTCCTGCAGCAGCCCGCACTGCTGCAGCGTGCTCCGCACGGCCGGCAAGCCCCGCGGCCCCGCCGCCTCGCCGCCGCTCCGCTCCTTCCTCTCCAGCATGCCGGCGGCTCGCAGGGCAGCCGCTCTATCCATCCCTCGGCATCGGGGAGGCCGGCAGGCGAGGCTGCGGCGGCGGGGGAGCGGCGGGAGGGACGGACGGAGGGAGGGAGAGAGGGAGGCGGGAGGCGGCCGGGCCCGCCCCGCCGCTCTCGCCGGGCAATCACCGCGCGGTACATGCGCGGCCAACGGGGCCGCGGGCGCGCCCGCTCCGCCCTCGCCGCAGCCCCTCAGTGCCCGCTGCAGCCCCTCGGTGTCCCCCCGAGCCCTTCGGTGCCCGCCGCTGCCCCTCGGTGTCCCCCCGAGCCCTTCGGTGCCCGCCGCAGCCCCTCGGTGTCCGCCTGAGCTCCTCAATTCCCGCCTCAGCCCCTCAGTGCCCGCTCCGCCCCCGCCGCAGCCCCTCAGTGACCTCAGAGCTCGTCAGCCCTCACCGCTCGTCCCAGCCCCTCAGCGCTCCCCTCAGCATCTCCCTCTGCCCCTCATTGCCCACCTCAGCCCCCTCACCGCTCGTTTCAGCTCCTCAGCGCTCAGCTGGTTAGATGGATACTGATATCTGCATTAGTTTGTGTGGATTTGCATCAGGTAGTGTGGCATATGCTGTTTAGTAATTTTCTTAAGAATGTAGGTCAGGTTAAGTATTTGATTTCATTGTCATTATTCACATGCTGTAAAGTTCATACGCACTAAGGGCTTTGCTGGATTAGGGTTTAATTAGTTTGCCATCTGATGAGTTCTGTCGTTTTGGGAAAGTAACTTACTTTGCTTATTACCTCCATATTTCTGACCTTGTGGAAAAGTCTATCTACCCCTTCTCCTCTCAAGTGCACTGGAACTTTAACAAATTTTAGTTTGTAGAATCCTGACAGGTTGAAATCCTCAAATACAGGTGACTGTGGAACTGGGCAATATTATTGACAGGATATTTATTATTCTTGTAGGAATTCTCTACATGCCCACCTGAGAACATCCATTCTCTGATAGACAAGAAACCGAGTGCGTTGCATAAGAAAGCAAACCAGGAAAATTGTGGGCCGTGCATCACAAGATACTTGGCATTCCCTGCAGTGTTTGTGTGCTGGGAGTGCCGGCCTCATTACCCGGCTGCCATCCCTGGGCAGCATTCCAGTGCCGGCACACAGGGCTGCCCTTGGGCCTGCATGGAAAAATGTGCTGACTAAACACTGCCTGTGTGTCCCTGTCCCTGCTCAGCACCGCTGCTGCCTCACAGGTGGTGGGGCTGTCACGGTCACAGGAGAGCTGGGGCTCTGAGTGCTCC